CTCAAATCTCTACTCTTTGCTCTACGTGTATCTATGTATTTTGTCATTGTTACTGTTGGAAGCCAAGGTTTAACGTTACTTCTTGTATTCAATATTGTTTGTCGGTATAAATTTAAGCATCACACTAACATTTCTGAGGCTATATTCTTCATATATACATTGGTATAGACAGTTGCTCAATGTTCCTTTTTTATGTAATAATTTAAATGCCACACAGATACGTATTTTAGTAAATCCCTTTATCTGAGAAATATTATGGTTAAGAGAATTGCATGTAACAGAAGTGAATATCTGCTATTTTTTATTTCCCAGAATGTACTCTTTTTCAATTGGCAATAGTATCCAAAGTTTTCTTGGAGAAACCAGTGCTTTCCAACTCATCAGTGTCGTTACTGTGGGGCTGACTCTGCCTCTGTTTCCTTTGGTGGACATGTAAGCAAGGTCTGGCTCTAGTTAGTTGAGCATTACACCTCCCATGGCCACAGTGACTGCTTTCGAGGTTGGCACACAAACCAAATTAAGCCAGTCAGTCAACGTATTGGAACTCTCAAAAAAGAGAAATTATCAAATCTCAGAATTCATGCTGGTAGGATTTAAACTTAAAGCTGCTGGCTGCCACATTTATTACCACATAGAGTATGCATGAAAGTGAACACCATATAGAAGCCCAAACTAAGGAATGGAGGAAGGCAGAATCCTGATTACATCATATGAGTCCCTGGATCTAGCCATGCCCAACTTGAGTCACATAATTTTTCAGTTATGTGAGTCAATAAATATTAATAATAGTAATAATAATTATTTTCCTTAAATCTGTTTGAATTGAATTGTTGTGACTTACTACTAAAGAAATCTGGTTAATACAATGGTATATGAAATAATCAAATCTAGAATTTGGAATTTCTGATCTTTCTGATCCTAATTATGAGAAAATCTCCTGCTGAGAAGATAAAATTATTACACAAAGAGGTATGAGGCTAGAGTAAGGATCAGAAAGGACCCAACTTACCCTTCAGTTTGCCAGCTGGTACTTTTTTAAAGGCATAGAGAATGCTATAGTATGACAGAGGAAATAAGTAGCATCCTCATTTTAAGAGTATGTATGATGAAATGCATTTTTGTTCAGAAATGAAAAGGGTCCTCTCTTCTATTGTCGAACTTGTTTTTATAAACTGTTATTTCATTTTCTATCTTGGTATATCTGAACTTTTGCACTTTATTACTGTATGCTGGTAAATTATGTACTCAGTTTTGGAGAACAGAAAATACATTTTCTTCTTTCATATCTGAATTTTGGTGCAGTTCTACCCTGTCCTATGGGGTCGCTATGCGTCAGAATTGACTTGACAGTAACAGGTTTGGTTTTTGGTTTTTTAATACATTGAACAATTAAGGCATTCTGATCTTGGTACTAACAGCTATATCAAAACATCCCAGACCTCTCTTCCCTCTCCAAACATTTGTGAACTATGATTTATGTGAAAATACAGCTATCTACTTGTCGTAACTGTTAAGGTAGAATAGCCATTCTCAAGAACACTGGTTTTCAATGACGGCTTACCTTAGAATCACTTGAGGAAATTTAAAAACATGATGGACGCCTGTATCCCACTATAAGCCAACTAAATCAGAATCCCTGGAGGGAATGCCCAACCAATTCCTTCTTAAATTCTTCAGGTGATTCTACTGAAGCCAAGGCTGGGAACCATTCCTCTGGGCACTTCCCAGTGTCTCAATAAATAAATCTCAAACTGACTCAGTAACTGAAGTTCAGCAAAGTACAACAATCAGTGGAGAGATTGCCTGAAGGCAATGCAATTTGTTCATTTCTAGTCTATCATCTTTAAGCCAGGTGAGACAAATAAGGGTGGTAAACTAGGTCAGGACTGTAACGCCCCCAGTAGACTTTTTTTCCCCTGAATTTCACTTTTTATAATGCCATGTGCTTATATTAAGGGGCATATGTAAGAAACAGATCTATAAAATGTATTTGTCTTTTGTCAGATTTCTTAGGAGTGAATTCTTTCTGGTCTTAGTATTAGGAATACTAAATGTTTAATGGACTCATAAATTATGTAACTAATCAAGTTTTATTTAATGAGCTGCTAGAAAGTTTGGAGCCAAATTTTTCTCCACGAACAAGTGTAATAGGAATTGTTCCTATATCAAATTTTCCATTTTTATCCTTGTTTTCCCTTTTTCTTTCTCACCTTCTTGTAATTTGTCACTTTGATCTATATTTTGCATCCACTAAGCCATCGTAAAACTGTTTAGGAGCAAGACTAGGTGTATATAACATAAAAACTGTAGTTAATGGCCCCATGATTAAATATTGCACTACAAAAGATGACTTTTTGTTAGTCAACAACTAAATTCCTCAATGTAAGAAAATTTGAAAAACGTCAAAGCCAACCTAACATGTGTCTTGGGCATTGGGCATTAGGCATTAATTCTGATGTTGAAATAAAAATATACACCTAGAGAGCAAACGAGAATGAAGAAAAGATACAAGGGAAAGATTAGTTCAAAGGACTAATGGACCATAACTATCGCAGCCTCCACCAGACTGAGTCCAGTACAACTAGATGGTGCCTGGCTACCTCACTGACTGCTCTGACAGGGATCACAATACAGGGTCCCGGGCAGAGCTGGAGAAAAATGTAGAACAAAATTCTAAATCATAAGAAAAAGACCAGACTTACTTACTGGCCTGACAGAGACTGGAGAAACACCGAGAGTATGGCCCCTGGACACCCTTTTAGCTCAGTAATGAAGTCACTCCAGAGGTTCACCCTTCAGCCAAAGATTAGACAGGCCCATAAAACAGAACGAGACTAAAGGGGCACACCAGCCCAGGGGCAAGGACTAGAAGGCAGGATGGGACGGAAAAGCTGGTAATAGGGAACCCAAGGTCGAGAAGGGAGACTGTTGATATGTCGTGGGGTTCTTAACCAATGTCATAAAACAATATGTGTACTGTTTAATGAGAAACTAGTTCGTTCTGTAAACCTTCATCTAAAGTACAATTAAACATATATATACATACACCTGCTTCTCACTTATCGACTATCTCGTTATCCATTTCACATTTACAACAATAGTAAAACATCTACTGTCCAACTATTTTGCACATTAACAATGTACATTTGGCAGTAAGGAATGCCGAGGTGTGAGGTGAGAGTAATGCTAGCTGTGATGGTTAAGGTTATGTGTCAGCTTGGCTGGGCCATGATTCTCAGTGGTTTGGCAGTTATTTAATGATGTAATTTGGCAGTTATGTAATGATGTAGTCATCCTCCATTTTGTGTATTTGATGTGGCCATCTTCCATTTTTTTGTAACACCGACTTTCACATAATGACCTGGTTGATAAACTGAGGAGTGGGTGTATAATATACAAGGAATACCCATACACATCAAAACAGTGTTGTTGTGACAATCATCAATCAACATATTTACCACTGATGAAGAAAAAGGAGAATAAAGGAGTGATCAAGGACAGGAAAGATATATTCTTCATTTGAGAAGGACGAAGGCAAAATCATAAAAAGGTGAAATTTCTACTTGGAAAGGATGCCCAAATTAAGTTTTAACAAGAAGTTGACTTAAAGATACAGGAAGAAATCTTTCCATCAAGGAAAAAATGAAAATTTAGGTTAAGTCAGATTTTTTTCTAAGTGAAACAGATGGAAGATAGCCTAACTTTTTTTTTTTTTTTACAAAGTACTCTGTGTTATTTTAGTGGTCAGTCAATTAAATCTCTAGTATTCCACAAACTAATAAGAAAGATGCCTGAACTGCAAGCAGGCCTTTTGAAGAAAGGATTCTAGAGTCTGATTATTATGAAAAGGAAAATTATCAGGTGCATATGAAACTGCACTGATAGATTGTGAAAAAGATGTTTTAAACATAATTTATAATCACTATAATAGATGAACAGTCCAATAAATAAATGGTATTTGGGTAAATTCTTTTCTTGGAAAACTATGAGTAGTAACCTACACTGATGGATTCATTTACATATGTAATTTGAGACACGTTTCCTCTTAGCTATGATCACCTTTTATTAATTTACCCTCTGATTAATATAAAGGCAAGAACCCTCTAAGAAAGCCTGGTTTTACACATGTATGTAAATTCTTCGTCTGGTTTTCAATTTATATTGCCCACATAACAAAATATTTTCTATATTTTATACAGTACAACACATTTTTTCTGGTTGAAGACATTGACAAAGTTGTACTATATCTGTGGTTTGTGTAGTTATTACAAAAGTTTGCAAATATGAAAAATTGCAAAATACACTGACAGCTAATGCTCTGAAAACACTTTATTTCACAAATTACATTCAGATTCTGAAAATAGTGTTCTAACAGTATAACCATCTAAAAATAAGACATCCCAGAAACACGCCAACCAAAAAAGAAAACTAAAAAAAAAAGAATTTAAATAGAGACTTTTTTTTCTTTTTCTCACTGCAATATAATGTGATTTTAAAAAAATAGAAGGCGATTTAGCAGCTTTGTCGTCATGTAGCACAAAGTTTCTCAGCTTTGTCGTCATGTAGCACAAAGTTTCTCTTTACTGCCACAGGCTGAGAATGCTGAACAGAAAAGGCACCAAAGAAAGACAGTGGCAATGGAAGTGCTATGGAGAAATACTGTGTTCAAGCAGAGAGTGGGGTTATTTACATCCATAGAAAAGTCTCAAAAATGTAAATAAGCAAACATTCCATCCTTTAAATTAGTACTGTGACGGAAGAAGAGGACTGTTTCTCTATTCTACATTCAGATAAAGACTATGGCACTCTTATGAACTTTCAGGAAACTCCTCAACTAGCAACAGAAGCCAACTAAACCAAAAGGAAGTAAATAAAATGTGTACAGTCCCACATAGACTAGTTCAGTTTACAATTAAATACACAAAACTTTAAACGTGCTAAAGGGAAGGAATCTGGCATACTTGGTAAAATCTCGCTCAACCTAAATCAAAGCCTGGTGTTCAGGAGGAGGACGGTGCCGGTGTGGGCAGAGGTGCGGAATACTCCTCTTCTGATTCACTTGCGTCATCCTCATCTTTCTCTTGGTCACTTCCCTCAGTGCTAAGGCGGTCAAACCCTTTTCGACTGTAGCCCTTACGGCTTGCGAAGAAGTTTCCAAGGTTTAAACCTCCAGTTCCTTTTCCTGAGTGAAGCAAACAACAACATAGAATTGAGGTAAAGTTTGCAACAAGTGATTCTTGGTTTCTTTGTCAATTCTTAAATGGTCAACAATGTTAGAAGTTGAGGAATGGGAAAGGATAGATATACTAAAAAGAAAGAATGGCATGCAGAAAGACTAATTCGACAGCCAGATAGATGCTACTCTACAAACTTATTAAAAGAAAAGGGGCAAGGGAAGCGCCTCAGGACTGTTTCTCTGCAGGAATATTTCAGATTCACTTTTCACCTCCTGCTTTTCCCAGGCTCTCTGGAACTGGCATCCCTCGTGCAGCTCTTCATTTTAATGACTTTATGAAAAGGTCATCTTCACTATGACAAGCACTGACACTCTGACAAGAGTGACAGAAAATTTACTGAAGACAAATGAAGTCAGATAAAAGGCAGGGGAAGAGAATTAGATACTCTAGAATGGCAAGGTGGAAGAACAAAACTGGGAAAGTTGCTGCCAGAGACACATACTTGAGTTTACGTGTTGCATTCTGGATTTGACACTGGGGGAATGCTATGGTACACACACAGAGATCAACTTTCAGAGATAAAATATGAAATATTTCCTTGCTGTTTAAAAGGCATGAGCTTTTTGACTTTGAACAAAACTTGAAGTAAAGGATTCTAAAAGGTCACAGACATACCTCTAAGTCTTCCCAGCACTCTTCCTGAGCCTGTCTCGAGTTTGTGTTCAGAATCTGCTAGACAGAGATGGCACATTTCAAAATGAGTCCCAATCACCCTTCTCAATCCACAGGCTCAACTTGCAACACAAAATTAGGAATTTATACATGGTTAACAAGGCCCAGCTCTTGTCTGTAGGTAATTTTAAGGCGGGGGGACAATATATCACTGTGATATAGTGATATAGATAAGAGCCAGAGCTGGGTTTGACTCCTGACTGTATCTTTTATAGAATGCACAGTCTAGATAAATTATTTCCCTGAGCCCGAATTTGCAACTCTGAGAAAAGAGTGGTCAGCGACAATCCCTACCTATTTGTGAGGTTGAGTGATGTGCTTAGAACAGTGCCTGGTATGCACACAATAAATGTTCGATAAATACTGTTTTTGTTTTTTTTTTTAATTAAGATAGAATTAAGTTTCCAATAGTTTATAAAAATTTGGACGTTTGATTTTTATAATTTAGGAATATCTGTCTTATGATTTGCTGTTTCCATTGAAAACTGTATACACATCCTGCTTGAGAAAGCTTTGGATCCACGTATACCATTTCCCTAGTAAGACATGTTGTTGTTGGGTGCCATTGAGTCGATTCCTACTCATGGAAACCCTATGTGACACGGTAGGACTTCCGCACACGGTTTTTTTAGGCTGTAATATATACGAGAGTAGATCATCAGATCTTTCTCCTGTGAAGCCTCTGGGTGAGTTCAAACCGACAAATCTTTGGTTAACAGCCGAGTGCTTAACCATTGTGCCATCAGGGCTCCTTAAGGAGGTAAAAGAGATGAAACGTTGATTATTTTCCAAGCACACAAGGTACTCCAATGCTCCCATGGGGCTGCCTATCTCCAAGAAAGATCGACTCTCTTTGCTTACAAGAGACTGGGCTCCTGATGCTTCCATTACTCCCTTACGGGCTATGGTCAGGGAAGCCAGGCTTGGGGTTCTCATATCTCTAACCAGGAGTGGAGGCAGCAGCATGCAGAAGGCTAACAGGCAGATAGAAGATGGAGAAAAGTAGAAGAGTGGATGGGGAAATAAATAGATAAGCAGAATTTGGTAAGATTATAAGAAAGTCAAGAAATTAGACTGTAAATTCCACAAGGATGGAGGATATACCATAGTTTTGTATACCCTATGCCTAGCACAGTGTCTGATATGGAGCTGATACACAATAAGGGTGTGCTGAATAAATGAAAGAGCCTTTATGAGGTTTTCTAGAAACCTTAGGATGGACTGAATAAGATCTATTAAGAACAAATGTTTAAAAAAGGTGAGGCTGAACTACTTTTTCAATTAGACAACGATATGAAACTACATTTTTTTTTCTAAATAAAAAATGGTTGAATCATGGCAATTTCATATGGTTCAATTTGGCTCCTCCACATTTCAACACACCTGTAAACTCAGCATTCTGTATCAGTGCCATGTCACAGGTACTTAATAGCAAATGGGACAGACAAAACTTTCTTGATTCCCTAACAACTCTCTCTCAGGTGTAAGTTGGTTACCACCATTTCTGCCACCTGTCCCCATGTCTCACATGTTTCTATCTGTGTAGTTCTCTGTTACTGCACTTACCACCCTCTATTATAATTTTTATGTGTCATCTATTCTGTGAGCTCCATTTGTATACTCATTCATTCTTTCAAGTATTTACTGAACCCCTAGTGCCTAGAACTGTTATTTGTGCTGGGGACATATCAGTAAACAAGACATACAAGACTCTTGGTCTTTTGAAGCTTATATCAAACTCCATAAAGACAATGACTATGTTTATTTATCTTTGCCCCCTGCTTACCATATTTCCAGACACATAACAGGGACCCAATAGAAGTCCTTCTGCTGAAGAGTTAACTGTATTTTTTGGCAGAGTGTTACCAATGTTCGGATCAAAAGCACAAGGAAGTCCATGAAAAATTCCATTATGCAAGTTGTTAAACTGAATCCTCTGGTTTTTGTTTCCATGCCCTTTTCTGTGTCAAGGCTTTGCCCTAGGCACTGAATGCTTGCCATGGCCACCATGGCCTGAAATAGGATCAGATGCTGTTTCCTGATAAAGTGCTGCCTCTCACCCCCATCCATGGACTCCTTCCCATACGCAGCTGTAGACCCTTGCCTTAGGACCTGGGGATGCAGACAGGGGGACTGCTACTGAGCAGTGAGAATCACTGGTCAAGTTATTTGTTTATTTAAATATTTGTTTGGATGTCCTGAAAGAAATTCAGCTGTGTCTTATACTGTAATAATGCTTTGAGAAAATACTGACTTGAGTACTGAACCCTACCTTTTTCAGTTAAGGAAAGCTGATGACCTATATTATAACTATTTAAAAACTACCAAATGGCTTATTATAGAAATAGTTGGTTTCCTGAGAAAGCTGAGGTTTAGGACAGGATCTTTTATGATTTCTTATGACTTTTATGTCATCATAATCATTGTTAGTATTAACTGAGCACATACTAGGTGCCAGGTACTGTGATAAATGCTTTCTACACATTATTTCATTTAATCTTCATATACCCTTGTGAGGTAAGTATTTTATCCACACTTTATATAAATGAGAAAATGGTGGTGACTAAGTAACTTGCCCAAGGTCACGTAGCTGGAGCTAAAGTCAAGACTCAATCCGATGGAAAAAATAAATCCCAAAATAATTGGCCCATATGAGGCTGGGCCCATTGCTGATAGCAGGCATCTCCTTCTCTTCCCTGACCCCTCAGCTAATTTACACTGAGCTACTTATCTATACAATTTCACATGGAGACATTAATTGGGCCTAAACCAACTGCTAAAAGGCAACATTAAAGGTTATATTTTAACTATTGCAATTTCAGAGGCTCCAGATATATTTTCTGTGTTGCTAACAATAGACAATACTTGGAACATAGGCAATAACATAAAAAAAGGTAGAGAGCATTAAAGAAAAAAAAAAAAAAAAGACACTGAAAAAAAAATCACAACCAAACTCCTGAAGGTAATCAGGCCGAACACTCTTTCAAAGGCAGGTTCCAGTTCAAAGGGCTCATTTTACTTGCCTCCAAAGGCCCTTGATTTTTTCCACCGAATAAATATGGCAATGGCCAGCAGGACAACCACCGGAATAACCAGAAGGGTTGTTATGAGAACAACGGACACTCCCAAGCCCGGATCTTTGATCAGTTTCTGTTTCTCTTGCATCTTCTGCAATTCTGAGGTGGGTATGTTCTCCATTTTGGTTTCAACAACTGCCTCGGCTTCTTCAGGGAAAGAAGAGTTCACAATATTCAACTGACTCAAAGATTCCAAATCCCTCCCTCCCACCCTTATCCAGTCAAATCAACAACTGCTCACAAAGAACTTGTTGAGTCTAAAAAACATGTGGAGTTCATGTTTCAATATCTGAATCTACCAAAGTAGCAGTAGGTATTGTAATTGGTAATTTCCCCTGAATGTTTCTCATCTTCAAAATGATTTTCGTTGGTTCTATCCTTTACTCCCTATTTAGCTACAATTCCACAAAATATATATCCTCCTCTTGCATTTTCCCAAAGTTCAGATTAACAGGCAGCAAGGTGTAGAGAGAAGAACTGGTGTGTGTACTGGAGTCAAACAAACCTGGGCTCAAATCCCAGCTCTCCTATATACTAGCTGTGTAACTTTGGGCAAGTTACTTACATTATCTGGGCCTTAGTTACCTCATCTGTAAAACTATGATAATAATACCTCTTTCATAAAACTGTTGTATGTAAACGTCTATCACAAAGAAGATGCTTAAGAAGTATTTGTTTCCTTGTATCTTTGATTTATGGATCTTTTTCATGTCCACTGAATTACTGGTACACCATATACATAGTTGCATATATTAATTCAAGTATTACAAACTGGAGAAAGGAATTATGTCCTTTTCACGTTCTTTTCTGAAGTTCCCAGCAAAATGTAAAGTGTAGACAGATGTACTGTCTATACTTTTGTTGTTGATGAAAATAATTTATACAACACTTCTGTGATGTTGGCAGGTACTGTGTAGGTATCAGGCCTAAAATACTGTTTAGGAAATCAATGCAATAAAACTATATAAGCTATTGCAGGGATCTTATAACCACCTGCTTGAAAATGACACTGAGCCTTGAGATACTCCTGCCCCCGAGAAGTACGTGTGTGTGTGTGTTTGCACAGAAACCCTAATGGTACAACAGCTAATAAGAATTTTCCCAGCTAAAAATTACAACCGTGTTTGTCAAAAGGCTCATAAAGTTTCTGAAGTTTCAATTTCTTGGTGTGCCCTTTTGCCTTTATGATAGAGAGTACATTTCATGGCCTCGTGCAAATTTTGACAAAATGGCAGGGAAAAGTGCCTTAACACGGCCCAGAAAATCTTCAGTTAATATTTATGTAGACATGGTTAAAAAATTTCTGGACACTTTTCCAAGAAAGCATTTCTCAAATTATTTGAGACACTATAAACACCATGCTAAAAACAAATGGCAGATCCCAGATTTTTGCTTCCATATTCTAAACCAGCCTCCTTCATGGTCTCAATTACATCCACTGAGCACTTACACTGTGTCAGACATTGTTCTCATTTAATCATTACACCAAGCATATAGCAGGCAATATTACTATCACCATATTACAGATGGTCTCCATCTTCAAATTGTTTAAATGTGAAGAAGTAGGATTCAGTCTTTCTTCATTGCCTTCCCTATACCATGGTTAAGGGAAGGCCATACTTTCTTTTCTTTTGGCTACTGGAGTGACTCTTGAAACTTGAGAAGGAAAGAAGGAAAGGGACTGGTCCACAGACCTAAATTGTTCAAATTTAACCTTTCTGAGTCTTAGTTTTCATGAGAAAACTAGAGTAATGTGTTCTTATTCTTTCTACTTTTTTTTTTTTGTCTTTTTTTTTGCTACTGTAGAAAAAATATACAACTTGCTTTATATTTAAGCTCATTTTATATTTAAACAGGAGAATGACAATAAATAGATTGTGGGGTCATAGGCCAAAGATGTTGCTTGGCTTTCAAGAAACTTGTTGCCTTTGGTGGAATGGTTTGTTTCTGTTTGCAGGTGGTTATAACCTGAGTAAATACCTGACATTTTCTACTTGTCATTCAGTGGGTTTACTTGTACCGAAGACAATAGTTGTACCAGCTGTATCTAGTTTCTTTTATAAGGCAGAGACAGGATTGGGCTTTATTAAGTGGTAAGATGAACTATGGATGAAGTAGGTGATAGACTACAAGAATCAGTTTAGCATTCATAAAAGGTGTACTGAGAATGAGGTAATGACTTGGTCAGATACACACGTGACACTAAAAATTCTTGATCCCCACGTGCCTTGTGGTGTTTGAGTGTCATCTACTAGAAATACTTTAACATTTCAACACTTGGAACCAGCCAAAGTATGTTTAGATTTTAAAAGATGCTCTATATTTTAAAGGAGGAAAAAATTTTCAATTTCCCAGATTAAAGTAATAAATAAATGTTGCTGTTCTTTTCAGGAGCCTTAAATATGTATACTTATCAATTAAGGTTCTAAGAATTTCACTAAAAGCATAGGAATAATCCAAATTCTGTCACTTTTGCTCTGTATCCTAAATTCTTTCATTAAAAACTCTAATAAATTTGAAGTATTCCTGATGAAGAAGGAGTGGAGAAGCTCTAAAATTAGCTAGGACTTAGGACTTCTGAAAGATAAGCAGATACCTGGTATGACATATTTCTATTATCTAAGATGCCAGACACATTCCATCTAGAACAAGTGTCTTCAAGCCTTACAAAAGCACAAACTCTTGTAGTATCACTATAGATATTTGGAAATAAAGATCATTTCAAAGAGCTGATTTATAAGAAGTTATTTTTTTCTTTAAACCAATGCATTCAGAGAGGGAGGCTAGGTGCATTCCTGTGTGTGCATACACACACATTCCCATATACTAGCATGGGCATGTCCCCTTGCAGAAGACAAGCCTAGAGACCACTTGGAATTGGAATAACGGGGAAAGGAAAGGAAATGCATGATCACCACCACAGCAACACATCAGCTATTAATTACCCAGTTCATCATAGGCACAGCTTCAGGCTGAAGGTAACAGACGGCATACCAGCAAGCAACATTTTGGAAAACATGAGAAGTGCATATAGCACTAACAAAATCAGTCTTTAAAAAAAATTTTTTTAAAGCACAATCTGCATCCTCTACGATGTGTTTCTCTCCATTAGGTCTAAGAAGCCAACTGCATTAGGGAGTTTAATTTTATTTTCTTGAGACTGATGTAGCATCATCATCTCTTCTGGGGGTTGGTGAGGAGGAGGGCTATGATTTTGGTGAGATATTGGCCTGTTTATCCTTAGTAACTTTATCTGAACATTTAAATTCCTTTTCTAAGTTTCTTACCACCCTAAATCCTCTTATTCCTGAAAATCCCTTAGAACACTGGTTCTGAAACTCTGGTGTCACTGATCAGTTATGTGACCATTCACAGTGAGATGATCAGTGTCAGCAACGGTAACTTGAATTTGGAGACTTAAAATTAACATGTATCTACAGGATTGTTAAATCTGGGATGTTTCCCCCTGCTTTTTTGTAAATAGTTTTAATTAAGCATTAGGATTTTGATAAACAACAAGATTTCAGATATCTACCATGATTTATATTTATTCTTGTAATAAAAAATAATCTTAAAAAAAAGTTTAATGAGAATCATACTGGTTCAAAGAGGAACAGAGCAACTTCAATTGGGTTTAGGTATTCCTAACTATTATTTAGATATTCCTATAGGGTCGCTATGAGTCGGAATCAACTTGATGGCAACGGGTTTGGTTGGGTTTAGTTCGGTTAACTGTCACAGTAAGACATTTTAATAATATTTGCTATTTAAACTGCTCAGTTCTGTCCCAAGGCCAGGAGGTTTTCTGAACAAATGGACTCAGTGGTGTGTACTGGGAGAGAAATGACCTGCAGGAAAGCATCATTCATCCTTCACTGGCCAGCCAAGATGAGGTCTGCTTCATTGGGCTGTTCTCAGTAAGTCAACCAGTATAATCTGAAATTCTGAGGTGGAATATATTTAAACAGAAATGGTTTGAGTCCACTTTGAACTCCAGAGGTTTCAGTGTAAACTACAACCATTCCCCACCTGCAGCTCTTGGAAGAATTTATGGTGGATGAATTGGTGGTATCCATCCCTCCTCTACAATATAGTAATAGCGATTAAGAGCCCAAGCTTTGGTGCCAATCAGACTTTAGTTTAAAACCTGGCTCTAACACTTACTATCTCAGTAGTAATTCTGATCCTCAGTTTCCTCATATGTAATAGCAGCTATCACATGGTTGGTGTAATGATTAAATTTGATAATGTTTGGATAGCTTGGTGCCTATTTGTGCTCCACAAGTGATCCAAAAAGCAGTTGCCCTGGAATCAGTTCTGACTCATGGTGACTCCATGTGTCAGAGTAGAACTGTGCTCCATAGGGTTTTCAGTGGCTGATTTTTTCAGAAGTAGTTTACCAGGCCATTCTTCCAAGGTGCCTCTGGGTGGACTCAAACTTCTAACTTTTTGGTTAGCAGCTGAGCTCATTAACCATTTACACCACCCAGAGACTCTCCATAAATAATAGCCATTACTAATGATATCTTTCCCAACACCTTTAAGCAGAACTTATCAATAACTGTATGTAATGATAGAAAATTAAGGGATCAGGAGCTTTCTTTGATATATACGTGTAATATGCTTGTATTTTGTGAATGCCACTCAGTATTGTCACCTGAGCAGAATCTCTACAAATGCCAAACAATTGCTATGTATTTATTTCTTAATATCACCTTACCCCTTTTAACCTTGAGCCGGCTATATTTTCTTATCTGTCTACATAAAATCCCTAAATTCCCCCTGGGTTCTTGCTTCCTTTCATCTCTTTCCACCTCCTTTCATGAGAAAAGAAAACAAGTAAGCCCAAGATTAAGTCTGAGTATCTAGGAGAATCATTTGTAAAGCAACTAATAATGGAATCACTTTGCTACTTAAACATTAGGAGCACCTCGTAAGAAACCCATGATGAATTCTTAACTATAAATCACATGTCAAAACCTTGCAGATGGCAGAAAAATGTACAAATATAAACTAATCCTAGGAAAGGGAGAAAATTATTTAACTAGGATTCCAGATGTACCCAGTGGTTGATTATCATTAGTAGCTAAATCCCACTTCCCTAGGCTTGATATTATATACCAATTACATACTGATTTGCATATATGTATATGTATGTATGTACACACACACAGGTCTTATCTCTTCTTATAGACTAAGCCTCTTGAGGCCAGGCACAGTTTCCTTTCCCTTGGACCTTATACCACAGAAACCAAAAAACCAAATCAAAGCAGTTGCCATCAAGTCGATTCTGACTCATGGCAATTCCATGTGTTTCAGAGTAGAACTGCACTCCAAAGGGTTTTCAGTGGCTTTGATCTTTCAGAAGTAGACCTCCAGGCTTTTCTTCCAACATGCCTTTGGGTAGATTTGAACCACTAACCTTTAGGTTAGTAGCCAAGTGCTTAACTGTTTGGACCATCCAGGAACTCTTACACTAGACGGCTCTCAGAAAACGTTGACAGATTAAATGGTACTATGATAGGGGCGTAGGGAGCAGCTGACTCTTATTACACCCCTATAGCGTTAACACACCAAACACATTTTTCAATTCTTTAGATTAGAGTCCATTAAAAAAAGATCTTTCCCAATACTCAAAGGTATTTTTCTGCTTGCTTGAGATTAATGTACTTCCAAAAGTGACTAACTTATTTTCCTCTCTGAATGTCTCTGGCCCACTGATTATAGATTTCTTACACCCTCAATCACTCTCCATCACTTGAAGTCAGTGAACCTGAGCTCATTATTACTACTAAATTTATCAGCAAAAGCAGTGGCAAAATGCAGGTTTAAAGGCTCTGTACAAAAAAGAAGTCATGGATAATTGACCAGATTATATTATATTTTTAGTCTGATAATTTTTTTTAAGTGCAATCAAGGACCATAAAATAATTCAACACAAATAGTCTTAAGTTTCACAGTCATAAGAGGAAGCTGACCAACCTTTGATTTCCTGGTCATCAATGCCAGCCTTTTTAACTGATCGATGTTCCATTTCTGTAACATAGAACAGCAAGGAGAGAAAATCAGAATCCCTAGAAAGAACACTTGAAAATGTAATTTTGATATTAATTTTACTTAGTAGAAAATGCTTCCTTAATTAATTAAATGTATTATCATCTTTAGAAAAGAGTCCAGTACAAACTACTAATTACGTGCCAGGTCCATCAACCTGGATTTACATTTTCAAAGGAAAGTTGAAATAATATTTCTAAGATGTTCATATTTAGAGGGAGTTTTTCCTGTGGAGTTCATAGTACTGTATTATTTATGAACTATCAAGTAGTATTGTTTTCATATGGGCAACTTCTCAGACTGATTAGTAGTTCTGCCATGTTGGATTCCCAGTCTTCTAGCTCATAGAAATAGATTTGACTGAACACTAGAATGCAAATATATGAGACACCTGTTTAGTTTCTGATGGCAATCTAAGTGTTCCACAGGTACTATTTTCCAGATTTATTATTTGATTACACTCTGGACCATGCAGAAGGTTTTTCAGTTTTAAAGCTGCATGCTATATTAAGTGCTTCTCAGTCAGGGAATGTATCAAAACCACTTGGGAAGCCTTTCCAAAATACACATATTACCACCCTCTTCCTTCTGTAGGTCCTGAGTGGGGTTCGGCCATGCATATTTTGAAAATCCTCCCCAGGTGACTCAGATATACATATCTGTTCAGTACTAACCACTGGAGGGCTATAAAGAGCTCTAGCCTGGAATCTTAGTAAGTTCCAAATATCATATTTCTATCCTCAAAATGAAGATATTGGCTAGATTTCTTAAGTCACATCCTTCTTTCAAGGTACCTATGTATTTTTGTTCTGAAAACCTGGGTTTATTTTTGCAATTGGGAATTTTCCATCTGTCTTTGCTTTCCTGTCTGCCCACACCTTCCGGAGAGAAGGCCGGCAGTGGGAGAGCTACACTTTGGAGAGGAATGTGAAGCTACTCCTGGGGCAGAAAAGTCCATGGGCACCTCTGTACACTCAACCAAACAGGGTCCTTATTAGAAAGCAGTGGAAGTTACTCAAAGAATGATTCTGAAGATGGTGGTTACCAAATTTATTTGGGCTCCAAGACCTGTATGGTATCTGATTAAAGTTTTTGGACTCCTCCTACCTTCTTTTATTGTTTGGTACCTGGCATATTGTAAAAGCATCTCTAGATCTTAAGGTTTATGGCCTAGTAAGCATTCAGTGCTCTTCAATTTAGACAACTTGTATTTTTTGGTATGAAAAAAAGCCAATTGCCATGGAGTTGATTCTGATTCATGCTGAGCCATTTGTATCGTAGTAGAACTATGCTCTATGAGGTTTTCAATGGCTGTTTTTTTTTTTTTTTGGAAGTAGAATGCTAGGCCTCTCTTCCAAGGCACCTCTTGAACCTCCAACATTCTGGTTAGTACCCAAGTGTGTGATCGCTGAGGCTAAGTTAGTATACTCTTTAAGAATTAGAAATACTGTCCAAAACGCAATTAGAAAACCCTAAAACTAGCCTGCTTAATCCTAATAGAGCAAAGCTTCTGTCCCCAGGCAAAATTTTGAGTTACATGAAAATATAGCAGTTCAATATTTTGGGAAAGCTGAAGGCTAAATGGAAAATGCAAAGTGTTTCCTGTTTGGGATAATATGTGTCTGACAGATGCTGGTGTCCCTAGATGCTCAGCAGCTACTGAGATCTAAAGAGTCATGTGGGAAGTGATGCCTGTGTGGAAACAAGACAGCCCCTCTGCCTTGCCAAAGCCATCTCCTCCCTCTGGAACTAAGTTGGATTTTACATTGGCTTTCAATGTAATAGACATTACTTCAGGCATCGAAAATTTCCTGTAGAGTATCTGTGGAAACAAGAGGGTAACTAACAGGGAAAGAAACAAAAGATGTTTCTCCCCACTCTTAAAAAAGTTAATTTAATCCTTGAACTGAATACCAACCAGGTCTTTCAACCACTGCCAATTTGTACTTTGTTCTCCCATTCCTATCAATAAAAAAAGAAGAAAAATGCAAATTTTTGTTTTAGATGTTTTCAAGCAATAAAACTGGGAAAATGTGGACAATGATGAAGTAAACAGCATACTTTCAGCCGAGGTGAACTTCCACACCGTGTTGCTGTGAGCGTCCCCAATGTACACTGTCCCGTCTTCAGATGCAACGATATCATGAGGCATGTCAAAGTGCTGCCAAAATAACAAGCCACACATTAGGGTGGTGAGCCTACCCTTTAATCCTTCATGAAAAGGCAGAAAAACAAAGCACATAACATAGCAATAGGCACAGCGCTCAAATCAAAGCAACAATTCCCATCACAGCAACTATAGGCCAAAGGGCCTATTCGTTCATTGGATACCCAATCTGTGTCAGGTGTAATCCTAGGCAGTGGGACATGATGAACGACCTTTACCACTGATTTTCAAATACGTTAAAAAGCAAACATTTATAAGTAAATTATTTTATCAGTGTTGTTTACTTGGTATTGTATCATCTATCTATTTACATTTATTTTTGCCTTCATGTTTCTTCTACCTTTTAATCCCTATCAAATTTGCCTGTTTTGATCGGTACAAGTCAAATAGGCCAGGTATTAATTTATGTTACTATTCACATCAAAGGAGCCCTGGTGGCGCAGTGGTTAAGAGTTCGGCTGCTAACCAAAAGGTTAGCAGTTCGAACCTACCAGCTGCTCCTTGGAAACGCTATGGAGCAGTTTTACTCTGTCCTATAGGGTTGCTAGGAGTTGGAATTGACCCGACAGTAACAGGATTTCCATCAAAACTATCCTATCCTTAAAAGCTATTTGTATATTACTGATAAGAATAATCAATTCAGATTCAGGGCATTTGGGTTATTTCTGAGTACATACTAGGAGATATACAACAACATGGGTTTTGTACTCGAGTCCAATTTCTGCAATATTTTCCGTCAGCAAAGAAAACAAATTTGAGTGTTACTCCCAAGTACTTCCTGGGCTTTTGTGTCTACTTCAGTTACTCAGTATTTTCGTATGTCCTTCCTCATGACATATCTCCATTTCAAATTATTGTCTTTTTAAACATGAGGACATAGAAGGCAGGAGAGCACTTTATGTGACTTTCTTGGGGTCACCGAGCCAGTTCAGCAAATTTAGGTGTGCTGAAGAGTACTTTATGTGACTTTCTCAGGGTTACCCAGCCAGTTCCTAGAACAGGCTTAAAACACTAGGCTGCTGACATTTCCATCTGTCTACTGAAGCCTTCAAAGGTGCCATGTGTCCTACAGTTGGCAGGATGTAGATAATTTCTTTCACCTATGAGGCCAGCAGGCCTGCCTGAATGCAATTCTCAAAAATATGACTAATGAGTATGAAAAGGAGCACTATCCAGACGGTGGGCTTATCAGCTAACATCTGCACATCTCAGTTTGCTGAGTACAAAAGTTACCAATGAGACAAACTACTCTTCTTAGCTCATTTTAGGAGGGGCAGAAGAATGCATTCTTTGGAGATACTATTGTGCGTTAAAAATCAGCAACAGTCTGTCATGTTGTAAAAAAAAAATGAGACTTGTGCCAAGGAGGCTCATTGCTTCACACCATCCAATAAGCTGTGACAAATGCGCAAGAGAAAGAGAGCCAGAAATCAAAACATTGCCTTGTTGAAATCTCACAAGCCTGTTGTTAAATGTTCATCTTTATTTTGGGTTCAGCTAATGGGCAGCAACAAACTTACAAACATGTGGGAGAACAGAGATGAAGGAGGAATATGCAAATTACTTATTGGCCAAGGCCTTTGCTTTAAATAAATCACAATAATGTGTCATAAATTCAAGGCTAAAATCACAATAAATCCCTATCAGTGGTTCTCAAACTGATTCACAGAACTAAAGACTCTGTTGGAAAGACTCTGGGGCCACTGTAAGGGCTCAGGGGAAGACTTAGTGGGTGGGACTTCTGGACCTTCATTCCTGCTGCAATCAGAAACACTTTAAAACTGTAATGTTTTTAATGAACTATTCCATTGTTCTGTATCATTTAAAAGAGCAAAATTATGTTGTTGCTTTTAGGATTTCAGAGTTGAAGGGCCTTAGATATATTCTAATCCAGGCTTTGTAAATTCTTCTCCTGAGGTACCTCTAATGAAATAAAATTGACAACAGAGGAGAATGATAGCATCCTCCTGGGGCATCCAGGGATACAGCCCAGGGCAGTGTTCCCTCAAAATCTTATATTTTATATTAAAAATTCATGAAAAAAGTTTTGATCTTCTCTGTATTATAGCTGTGTTTGCTTTAATACAAAAATAATGCTTAAACTTACTTAACATTAAGAATAATGGTTCTTCTAGGAAGTTGTATCATGTTTATATTGTGGCTTCATATACCCCTTAGCAGACCAATGTGTATTCTAGGGATCAAAGGACCCCGGTATAACCCAACTTCATTTATCAAATGAGGGTACTAGCATCCACAACGTAGAATGCTAAGTAGAGATCTTATTTTGGAGTCAGACAGACATGAGTTTGAGATCTAGGTGAGCTACTTACTGTGTAGCTTTGGACAAGTAATTTAACCTATGTTAACCTTTCATCTCAAATATTGTGATTTTAATCTCTGTTGTGAAGGTTAAAGAAACAATATGAATCTGGACTTGCTGTTCATCCTTTGTGTACGTGCGTGTGTTTGTTGGAGGGTTGGGGATCTTTCCCTTCCTTTCCAACATGAGCTGCCAGGGAGAAAGAAAGAAGACAAAAAATGTCAGCCTGAAGGATGTATGTGAAAGCATATGATGAGGTGTCATTTGTCTTTCCTTTGATTATGAGTAGGGGAGAGAATTCGGGGGCTGAATTTTCTCGGGGGCTGTTTTTTGTCCTCACGGTTTTTTGATACTATTTAATAGAACCATCTTCTTTATCGTCCTGTTGTTCCCCAACTTCCCTGCACAGACGTAAAGGTGAAGATGGTACACTCAGACATACATATTTCTAAAAAAACTAATAGTAGAAGTGGGAGAACTGAAATACACAAGCACATAAGTAGTGAACATAAAGTGTTCTCCTACACACCTCGGTTTGCTGAACAGGCTGGATGACCCCGAGAAAGTCACATAAAGTGCTCTCCTGCCTTCTATGTCCTCATGTTTAAAAAGACAATAATGTGAAATGGAGATATGTCATGAGGAAGGACATATTAAACACTGAGTATCTGAAGTAGATACAAAAGCCCAAGAAGTACTTGAGGGTAACACTCAATTTATTTTCTTTGTTGACTGAAAATATTGCAGAAATTGGACTTGAGAGTATAAAACCCATGTTGTTGTATAGGGCCATGCTAGTCCCTAGTCACTATGTTTGTAAAAAGCACCGTTAGAATAAACAACGGTAAACCATTTCTGAAGTCAAAACTAGCCTTTAGTCTCTGACCTAAACCAAGTCTTTAGGACTTGAATAAATTCCATGAAATGCTATTTTCAAGTCTTGCTGCTCAGTATCATCATAGCAATAAAAAAGCAAACAAGATTTCTGCTGGATCTGAGAGAATTATATAAGTACAATCTAAACTACTGTGGTGTCTTTCCTATTTGAATAAAACCAGGAAATGACTCATTTTTTTTTTAAAGGTATTTTTAAATACAGTTAATTTACACTTGTAATGGTATGCAAATTCTACTAAGAACTTAGAATTCTACATAGTGTTAACTTGCATATGAGGAAACTGATTTAGGAACAGACAAGGGCATTTATTTATTCTAGATACAGATACTATAATAGGACACTCCCATCAACCTAGCTAAGAAAGTTATCATAGCTACTTAACTTTTTTTTTTAATTAAACGATTACAAATTGAATGTCAAGATTCACGTTAGTCTTATTCTCATAAAAACTGAAACCTAGGCAATGCTTTAAATACCTTGCGTACTGGCTTGAAGATGCCTATAATTTCCCCACTGGAAAAGTTCATCACAAATCCTTGTACAGGCTCTCGCTCCCCAAAGTAAGGCTTCCCATTCACCGCAAAGAGCAAACCTGTGATAATATATCCAGTTAAGTTTCCTTTAAAATATGGACAAGACTGGCTTTCAAATATATACATGAACGTTCAACACACAGTCAACAGATGTAGCGTCAACATGATCCCTATAATTGGCAACAAAGATAGATAATAAAATACTTAGCAAATGTCTTCTTCTGAGTGACAAGATCAGGGGCAAACAGGTTAGAGAGCTAATCTCCCAGGAAAACGAGCAACTGGAAGGCCTGTTCCACTTTGGAAGCCAGTAAAATTCAGGAATATATAGATAGATATATAGATGTAAATACAGATGTCACAGGCGTCCTAAATAGATATTGGGAAGAACCTGGCTATTTAGGCCAATCATTTTAGAATATCAGATTCTTTTCAACCACATGTAATACCTGCCATTTTAGAGAGAAATTAGAAATATGCGTAGAAATTAAGTGAAAATACAGTATAAATAGAAGGATTGACAACTGGAGTTTGAAAATATGAGATGATTGTTCCAGATTATCAAAGACATGTTTTTCAATAGTTAAAAAAATCAGACCATCTTTTTTATAATAATGGTATGAATACTCCTTAGTAAAATTATATTTCTTAGTATAGTACTATTCATCCAAAATATGGAAACTGTGATATTCTGGTTAACTAAATACTGCAGATGATTGAAAATTACCAGTTTTCAAAGAATTAAAACACAATAAGATGTATATAATACACTAAAATAACATTCAACATATTTTTGTCTTTTTTTATGGATTACAGAATTCCTGACGTATCATGTTAAGAAAGAATCAACAGTATAAATATCAATTATTATTGTGCAATATTATACACAGAATTCCATTTTTAATACACTTTTTGTTCTTTATTTTGATTCTGGTTTTAACCAGATTTCTTCCAATCATCTTTCCTGATTTTTTTCTTCTTCTAATATTTAACTTACTCTTGTTCACAATGAATGTGATCATCTTCTTTATTAAGTGACAGAATCTGATTTTTTGTGTAAAAACCAACACAAGAATTTTGCTTCCACTGATGTTAATGAGCATATGTAGTTTATTTATTACCTATTCTTTGGGGAAGCCAAACTTGCTCCCTATCTAGTTAACTGACTCCCATTATTCCATGTCCCAGATAAATAGGGGGCTGCTTGAGGAGAGAGCAGCCACAGCAACCTGAACAGAACAAGAAGTATAAATACTATAATTTTTAGAACATTTAATATGTTTTCAATATGTTCAGTATCCATTAAGGAAATATTATGCTAACTTGTTTTATAAAGTAAATTATGTGATCTTATAAGTTTGCATTATTTTTCTGATTTTCAAGAAAATCTACCTTGAAAATGAGAAAAATTGCAAGGTTTTCTTGGTCATTTTTCCTGCTGTTTAGACCTAAATCTCACTTATTTTATGTATTTATCTTTCTGTTTTTAATTGCCCACCTCTTTTTAAAAAACGTGAAATAGAAGTATTTTGAATTCTATCAGACATACACCATCTGTTGATGATGCGTGAAGACATAGTATTAATCATTTAATAACTAGAGCAGATTATCATAATTAAGGAAAAATGAAAATCAATGTTTGGAAACAATTTTTTAACTCTTTACAAACAGTTGTTAAATCCTTTGACTTCTTCATTATTTATGTACAAAGAAGAGTGGCACTTGAGTTGAAAATGATTTATAATGCACTAACAGTTTTAAGACATTTTAAGTTCAGATACATAAGGGATTGTGAACCCCTTCATAAGAAAAAAAATTAAAGAAACAGCATGTGAAGATAAGACAGATACTTTTTAAGAACAGAGTATGGAATGTCAAAACACATACACAAAAATTAAGTTTAAATACCTGGTATATATGAAATTGCAAATACACTTCTTCCAAATGATGCATGCTTGATCTCTCTCACAAATTCTTTGGTGTCAGTTTTAAAACACTGGATCCGACCATTTTCCCTGTCTGCCACACATAACTGGCCCAAATGATGTACAAGGGCCAAGCTGTGAGGAACACTGAACTGGCCTGGATTAGGATTGCTCCCTGAAGATGCTACAGAATAAAGAAAAACCTCAGATATACAATTTATAAAATCATCCAAAGTCTGACTCTATAGTCTTGTAATTTCCCATACTCATGATAGTAAACCATTAAATTTCTGGACAGGGGGAGAAATAAGGTATATCAGTTTTAAGTTTATTTCATGATATCTCTTACCCACAACAGATTTTCTCCGTATTTGGACAAAGGTTTTTGGCAGAAGCATTTTTTTTCCCTCTTGTAAGACTTATGTGCGTGTGTGTGTGTGTGTGCGCGCACGCGCACGTGTGTGTAAGCCAAGTCGGGGCACACAGACCCTGTTTTCCTCAATGTAAAGGACAATTCATCCAACAGAACGTGAAAGGTCGTCAATCTGTTATTCCTACTGATACTGATATTGGCTAAGAATTACAATTAGAGATCAAGAGTCTTTTTGGGTACCTTCTCCCCACTGTGTGATAAACTTTCCAGTTGGTGAAAACTGCATAATCCGACTGTTGCAATAACCATCTGATACATAGATGATTCCAGTTTCTGGATCCACAGCCACATCAGTGGGTTGACAGAAGTGATTCTGGTCACTGCCTGGTTGCATGCTTCTTCCCAGGATTAACAGAGGACCTTCTTTACTGTTTGGATCCAGTTTGAACACCTTTTTAAAATGGAATAAAGGATTTACCCACTTTGCATGGTTATTAATGACACATACCCAACATGACTAAAATCACTTTTATGGGCAATTTGAGTGTAAGCTCTGAGAGACTTATTTAAAAGAAGATACTTTTTAGAACTGGATGAAACCCTAGAAATCATTCGATCTGTTTCCTTCATTTGATAAATGAGGTCTACAGAGCTTAATTGATTTTTCTCAAGGTCATCGGTTAATTAGTGGTAAATGTGACAAACACATGGTTATCATATCCCACTTCACCCCCCACCCCCGTTAACTAACAGTACAGTGCGCTTCAGATAACACATGAGCAATAAATGTTTGCTGTGATGATGTTTGAAGATGTCTGAAGACTGAGGGGAGAACAACTTAATTTTTGTTAACTATGTCTTCTGAAGGTTTTTTCCTAGTTCACTGCCTCCTATTCATAAAAATGTTATTAAACTTAAGCTTATTTGGGGGGAAGGGAAATACCTTATGACTATTCTGTGACTGAAATGTAACTTCTTTGAAAAAGCACAAAATATTTGTCCATTAACATGTTTTACAATTTTATATTTTACACATTAACATATACTTACTAGAGACTTTGTCTCAATTTATAGAATAAGGTGGCTTAGAAAAGAAAACAAAAAACACGAGTAGTAAAATAGAAATAAAACCTGGGGACAAAGGAAGTAAAAGTAAACGTAGAAAGCCAAGAAGGAAGAGGAGAGGGCCCACATCATTGTCATAGCCGAGCTCCATCTCTGCACCTAAGCCTCCTGCCAACCCAAGGGAGAAAGGAGACTCGATAAATTACACATTAGCTTTTTCTAGCACTGAATTCTATAAGAAAACTTCCAGATGTGGCTGTTTCATTTTCTTGTTATAAACTTACTGAGTCAGAGAAAAAGACTCACACAACTCCAGAAAATTAGAGCATTTTGAAAGCATACCTCTGTTAGCTTCTATTTGAATAACTACCAAATCGGAAAGATTACCTGATGGAGAGCCACATCCGTGACCCAATAATTTCCATCTTTATCTACACTCAAGCCATGTGGTAAATAAAACCTGCAAAATAAAAAAATAATTGTCTTAATTATATATATTTCCCCAAAGCATACACGAGAAGATTCTTTTTCTACATAATCCCTAAAGGCAACATAAATTTATGAATTGATAAATGTGCAGTTCCTTACTATAGGAAAGACCAAAATAAATTATTAAATGAAAACACTTGTTATGATAAGAGACCTGTGACAAACCGTAAGTAGTATTTAATCATATTAAAAATCTGTAAATGAAAGCTACATATAAATTAGTATCAATTTAAAAACAGGTTTTAAGATTATAAATAGCAACATCTTAGACATGTATATAAAGTGTAATTGTCTAGAGAAATAGAAACTGATTTATGTAGGCATTTTGAATAGCTTACATATACTGCAAGACAAGGCAATGCTATACTAATATGAAATATTAAACATTACTCAAAACCTTTAAGAATACCTATTAAAGACAGTAAAACCCAAAAGAAAAACAACTTTTAGCAAAAGTAGACTGTGCTCATCTAAGCAAAGTGAAATGGTAAGCTGGACAATCATTAGAGAAGTTCATCTATTTAACAAATCAATCTGAAAGATCAGAGTAAGAGAATTGTAAGCTAATGTAGACGGGCCCACAGGCTTAACGAACAATATGTTAATGTGATTTTGGTCTAATGACACCTCACAATCGACAAGCTATTTTTGTAGGCTTCTATCCTTAGTATGTAGCCCTGGTGTCGCAGTGGTTAAGAGCTCAGCTGCTAACCAAAAGGTCGGGAGTTTGAATCCACCAGCCGCTCCCTGGAAACCCTATAGGGCAGTTCTACTCTGCCCTATAGGGTCGCTATGAGTTGGAATCGACTCGATGGCAAGGAGTTTGGCTTGGTTTGGTTTGGTTTGGTTTATTGTTAGTATAAGGGAGCCCTGTAGTGCAGTGGTTAAGCACTCGGGTGCTAACTGAAAGGACAGTGGTTTGAACCCACCAGTTGCTCCATGGGAGAAAGATATGGCAGTCTGCTTCTGTAAAGATTTACAGCCTTGGAAACCCTATATGGGGCAGCTCTCTCTGAGTCTAAATCAACTTGACAGCAGTGGGTTTTAGGGGTTAGCCTCAGTATGGTGTCAGCAGAACAGAGTCTGTCATGAGCCAAGACTGTAACAACCTGATCCTGATTCAGTAACTGAACTAGATCCCTGCCTTGGTAACCGAACATGTGGGAATTATGATTTGCTTTCAACGCAGACATCCCACTGATGGTCAAGTTGATTTAGCAGCAGTTGTTCTGCCTTTCTCCTTAATTTCTTTCAGGAATGAGGTTGCTTCTGATTAATGGGTAGAGCACAAAAGAGAGGTTCAAGTGCACTGAGTGGTGGAGCTGGTATTAGTTGGACCCTGGCTCACCATCCTGGAAGCCTATTAAAATAATCAAAACTTCATTATTACCATCTCCATACACAACTAGATTCAAAGTAGATGGCTCCCTGCATTTCAAGGAAGCTGGCCTTCTTTGTGCCTAAGCAGATGGAGTAGGTTATAGTCCCTAAAGCCACCGGGCTAAAATGGTTGAGGACACTCCTTAAGCAGGTGCCTCTTTCTTTCAAGGACCATGAATATCAGCCAACTTTTCTTGGCTGCCAAATGCTATCTAGGAATAAGACCAAATAATGAGCAGCTTTCAAAGACAAATTACATGCGCATGCTAAGGAAAGTTAAAAACAGCATTTGTTTAGTCTTCATTCTGAGATGGGGAGAAGCCTTTTTTCTTAACTGTGATTACTTGATGAGTTTGGTTATACAACTCTTCTAATGGAGACTCTTTTTTTAATCTTCAGATCTAGCTGACCAGCAAATCATTTCATTAGCTGGGTATATCAAGGTCTCTCTCAATCTTGATAACGTATTAGAATAAACTAGGGGGCTTTAAAACTAAACCTGAATCTTTTTTTTTTTTTTAAGCTTCCCAGGTGATTATAATATTCAGAACTACCTATTTAGAAAATAGAGAATGGAGTCCCTTGGTGGTGCAAACGTGATCAGCTGCTAAGCAGGGCTTCAGACTGGTTCAGACCAGTTCAGGAATGTTTAGTAATTGTCGATTTAAATGGACACGTTGCATAGCAACCAAATCTTTTGCCCTGGGATTGTGACCTGAGTAGGAACCAAACAGCACTGCTCGCTCAAAGATGGCAGCCGACTGCACCGCTTTGATTGTGTATTGCTCTCCATAGTCCTGCCAATAATCCAATCTTCTGCATAGATCCCAAATGTTTCAGGAGCCTGATACAGGAGACTGGATTATTGACAGGACTAGGAGAGCAACACAGATTCAGTGTGGCCCCGTCAGCCACCATCTTTGAGCAGGCACCGCTGTTTCCCACTCAGGTCAAAATCCCACGAGTAACAGATTTCGCTGTTACACAATGCATGCGCTGTCCTCATTCACTTGGCAATTACTGAACCTTTCCTAACTGGTTTGAAGCCCTTCTGCTAAAAGGTTCGAGTCCACCCAAGGTGCCTTGGAAGAAAGGCATCATGATCTACTTCAGAAAAATCAGCCACTGAAAACCCTATAGAGTACAGTTCTACTCTGACACACATGTAGTTTCCATGAGTGGGAATCAACTCAATGGCAACTGGTTTATTTAGAAAATGCAAAGATGGGATGACTGAATTAATTCCCTGCTTTCCTGAGCTGGACTTTCCTACCACTGCTGTACAACTTTCTTTCTAAGACAGACCAGTGATACACTTCATACCCAATATATGTAGTAGAAGCTTTAATAATACATAAGTAATATAACTCACAGATTTTTGCCACTGGAATGGAGTACTGCAGCATTATTTGGATCTATGACAAGAATAGTGTCTTCTTCAATTGGTCCAAGTCCTCTTTGCTGGTAAACAAACTTGCTGTCAAAAGAGCTAAACAAAATGCATTAGAATTAAAAACATTGATCAGAAACTCCAGAGAACTTGAGAAATACAGATCACTCATCTGAGATTCTAATTACAGAATCAAAGAAGGGCTCAGCTGTATTTAACTTCATTCTTTGTCCTCCATGTTTCACTATCTTAGACTACATATACACCATTAGCCTACAGAACTGTGCTACTCAGAGTGATCAGTGGAGCATCAGCATCAGCATCACTTGGAAATACAGCCTCAGATCAATCCAATCAGAATCTGCACTTTCACAAGGTCCCCAGGTGATCTGTATGAACATTAGAGTTTGAGAGACACTGGTCCAGAACGCTTAGAGTGACATGTATTTAAAATTTTAATAATTGTTTAAAAAGCTCTTAAAAGTAGTTTAATTCAATCAGTTATCTTCTTCAAATTACAAAAGAAAGCACTATACTTAACTTTCTCTATAATAATAAAAATGGAGTAAATAAATCGCTGAAAGTGCTAGTAAATGTTTATTTCCCATGCAAACATATATTATAAAGATCTAGAACAGAATTTTCAAAATATTTTTAAAATACAGGATTTATATGCTGAAGAAAAATATGCTTATACTTTAACATAGACATAATGCATAATACATATAACAGGTTTTCTGTAAGTACAAGGGGAAAATTACATAATATTACAAAAACTAAAACACATATGATAATTTCTGCTTTTTAACCCAGCACCTTCTTGGTTATTATAAAAATGTGTTGTTTTATACATATACATATACACACACACACATATATTTCTACCTTTATTGTTGGTAATACCTTTCCTTAAATTAACAGTTATCAGAGACACTATTTCCATTCTTATTTGGAAAATTATACATTAATGGGGATAAATGATGAAGATAAACTCTTCTAATCTAAGCTTATATAATATAAAGGTAAATATACATAGCACCAGGACACCAATTTATATTTTCAAAAACAATGAGCTGGATCAGCACATAGTTGAGCCATACATATTTTGGCCAGATGAAGTCAATGGTTAATCAATGAATAATTCTGTAAAATAGAATTTCCTTTACAGTATCAGACAAGATGATGAATAAAAAACTTAATATTTTGTAGTTCAAGTCTATAAGCAAAAGAAGAATCCAAATAACATTAAATATTTATGGAGATATATTTGCAATTGGAAAGGTGACAGACTGCTCAAATCTATCATACACCTATTGATTGACCGGTTGATATATTTATGGAACTTATATAGAGTCCCAGTAGGAGAAGTAGATCTTTAGAATTATATTTTCTTGTCATTAAAAATATATATCAAACAATCATTTGAGCTTCTTGACTGTTACAGTCTTTTGGGTATTTTTTTCCTGAAAGGTAACAGTAAGTCCCTGAAGTAGTTCTTCTTAATGATGCATTCAATTGAACACAAAATATTGATTCAGCTTTGTCAACCTAAAACTTAATACTGCTTACATATGCTATTATGTCCAGTTAAAACCACACAGCAACATCTAGAAAAAATACATACATTTATGAAATAGAAGTAGCATCACAAACAAAACATTTTATGAGATATTCATGGGATCATTACTGAACTGAAATTCAGAATTTTATTAGCTAGAAACATATATAAAAATAGACAAGGTGTTATTAAATCAGAGGAGATTAGTAAAGAGCAAGCATGAAGTCACTCTTTCTTACTATTAGGAAACACCAAAGAGTTTGTCCTATATCTGAAACTCTAATTTCAATAGGAATTTCTTCACCAAGAATGTTATAACTTTTCCTCTAGAAAATAAAGGTATCAGATTCAACCATGATTAATCTTTCATTTTTTCCAACTTGACTATATTTGATAACTTCATGTTGCCAATATAAGACTCCATATGTTGTAGGTTTCACATTCATATTAAGATGATGTCTCCTCACTCATTATCTCTTCTAAGGTTTAAATCCTATATTCCTCATTGTCGGAAGTATTCCAGTGCTTTGTAAAGGCACAATGGCAATCTGAATAATGTGAAGGTATACTTCTCCTATCTACTAGGAGTTAAAAACCTATTTTTCTTCTTTTTAATAGAAAATTTTATTGAGATAATTGTAGATTCAAGTGCAGCTGTAATAAATAATACAGAGAGATCTGTGTACACTTTACTCAGCTTTTCCCAGTGGTAGCATTTTGTAAAACTAGAGTGCAGTATCAGAGCCAGGGTATTGATATTGATACAATCCACAGATCTTATTCAAATTTCCCCTTTCCCTTTTTCATTTCCTAAAATTTTTATTTACTCTTACTGTTGTGGGGGAGAAAGTGGAAAGGAGGTATTCTTCCCCAGGAGCATACTTTGAACCCTTTAACTTAAAGCATTATAGCAACAGCTTATTTCTCCAGACAATCAAATATTTTAAAATGTAAACTGGAGCTTAAATTACTCACTGGCAGCCATGTAAGCTCAAAGTCATGGACCTGAAATATTGGGCTCAGCTTCCAAAAAAACGAGTTGTGTTAAGGAAGAAATATAAATAACCCAGACCCGCAGTCCTTGTGCTAGTCAGGGCAAATGAAAATGTTGTAGTTGATGAGTAGATAAGTGAAAAATATCTTTTGTTAATGGTCCTCGTCTACAATGCCCACAGATGGAGAGAAATGTATCAAGTAATTGATGTTTTTGTCTTGAACACAATTTTTAAGTGCAGGAACATCCATATCCACAATCCAGCAATTTGACATTTCTAGTGGTAGTCAGTACATAATAAAGTTAACTAATTTGAGCACCACCCATTTTTGTTTCATTATCCACTTTTTGGTGTTGTGGTAATAAATTGTGAAACAGCAAATGACAGAGATAAAAGAAAGAAAAATAAATAAAACTAAGTCACAGAGCAAATAAATCAGGTTTTTACAATCAAAACTTTGATCCATAGAAAACATCACATCTCTCAATTTACCAAGATATTCTTCTCAGTATCTTATTACACTGCAACAACTAATAATTAAGTTTTTTTTAGGTTATATTTGATGCCACAAATTTACCCTCATGTCATCAGTATATACAGAGGGAATTTTGTGTGATGTGTAAAACTAGTCATTTTTCCTATGGCATATAGCTTTATGACTATTATTCATATTATTACTACACTTCTATGTCCCTTAAGGATCTCAGTGATAGGCAAATTCTTAAATTTACTGAGTAGAGAATCTGTTCATTTAACCACCACCCCTCAAAACACAGAAACACACACACAAATAAAAAAACAAAAACAGAAATCAAAGGTGAGGAATTCTACTTAGATTAATACCGTTTAAATATTATTAATTTATTCCAGCAAAATAAGTAACAAATTATAACATTTTAGAAATCTTAGGAAGAATATAGCTTTAAATGAATTAACCACAACACAATTGACTGAAATACTTCATTTAAAATCTTTGTTATACCTTTTAACACAAGTCTATATGTTTAAACTGGCAGCATCAAGGGACATCCAGTCACTCAACTGATTGGTTGACAGGTCTAATCCTTTCACTTAGGATAGCTGAAGCTTCATGCAACTAAGAGTTGGCCCCTAGTAGTTACACGGGGAAAGTAACAAAAGAAATTGATTTTTTTCTTAAATGGGAAAATTATATATATTTTTTAACCTGCCAAAATAAGTAGTTTATAAATTGTTTTATAATTCAAGGAAAGGAACCCTTGAACAGTTCACAAATGGATGTCAGATTATAGAGCTCAATACAATGTTGCTATAGCAAACTGCTTATTTAGTGTTCTAAAGCAGTTACCCCACATTATATGCTGCAGAGAGGTCTTTATTTCAACCACATTTAACTTTTTACACGATATAATAATACCCTGCATATTTCACACGGTGCTTGGAGTGCTGATGATTTTTGATTGCTTCTCTGAAAAAGCACTCATCCGAAAAGACAACTGCAGAGGCCTATGGGCCAGAATTCATCAGTTCTTAATTTCAGCAGTTTGAATTCCCCATTAATGATTTTGCACATTAGCAGCTAATCAAATAGTTTAGATAAGGCTGAGAAGAAATGCTTTGCTTCATTCACACACAAAAAAAAGAGCTAGAGTAGGAGAAAATAAACTTCTGTGCCATCAATCAAAATTAAGGGAATACAAAATAAATAATAGCAACTGAAGAAAGAAGTGAAATTTAATGTTGTAATTACATAAATTAAGAAGCTAGAGGAAGAATGATAGGTTTTCAAGTGAGCAAATAAGTATATCATACAAAAGCCAAAGACTTTAAATGGAATATAACAATGTTGTTGTCGTTGTTAGGTGCCATCAAGTGAGTTCCGACTCATAGCGACCCTACGTATAACAGAATGGAACATTGTCTGGTCCTGCACCATACTCACCATTGTTATGTTTGAGCCCACTGTTGTAGCCGCTGTGTCAATCCATCTTGTCAAGGGTCTTCCTCTTTTTTGCTGACCCTCTACCCTTACCAAGGATGATGTCCTTCTCCAGGACTAGTCTCTCCTGATAATAACTTAATACTATATTAAAAACACTTGCTTCTGAACATATGCACATGGCAGACAAGACACCAGCATTATTACATGGTGCCCTGATGGACTCAGAACTAGAGACACCATGAATAGCGATGAAAAAAAAAAAAACGACAAAACTAGGTATCAGGGCATCCAGGCTCTGGACTCTGTTCTGTCAATAAGGCCACTGAGGACAAAGTCACTTGACAAAGTGCTTTTTGTTACTCAACAGTATGAGACTATTATTAAAATCCTTATATTTTAGACATGGGAACTGTGAAGGAGTTTAAGTTTCTTGATGAAGGTCTCAAAGCTAGGAAATGGTAACCAAGATTCAAACTCAGGTCTCCTGTCTTCAAAAAAAACGTGTTTTTCTCTCACAAGTACTGAACTCACTGTACTGGAGAATCTCCTCTTCCAGTTCTCAAACTCAATGAGCATAAGTAGAAGAGACGAAAGAATAGTCACATAACCAAGAATTAGAAAAAGT